TATACATGCAGAAAGTGTTAGGTTACAAATTAACATTCCCATTTTGGCAGCCTCCTTGCGTCAACCCCTGCCAAGGGGCACGTAAAGTGCCAACATTCTAAGAGCAAAATTAGAATTTTCAACCCGCGGTCTCAAAAAACGCAACGGAGCAAAACTGAACTCAAAAGAAGCAATGTGCCTTCAATACATGTACATAAATGTTATGTTGTAAATAAACATTCCCCCTCTTAAAAATAATTATTCATACGAGTTTGCGATTTCTTAACCTAACAGGTACCGTACTCGCTTCAAATGAAGGTTTGCGAAAAATTTCCCAATTGCGCGGCGATGATGAAGATCGACAAAGACAATGGAATGAAAATACAACAAAGATCTTATATTTCTGTTATATTTTTTTTTCTATACACTTAATGCAATGCACAAAAATACTAATTAAAATAGATTAACAATAAAAATTAAATAAATGAACAATAAAAATGGGTTGGGTTCTAGTTGGCTGTGGATTTCTGCTTAGGTTAGGGATCGAACAGGGATCATTCCTATTTCAATTTCACACAACAAATAAAAAGTAAAAGACAAGAAAGCTTGGGTCGCGTGCGTAGAGGAAGGAAAAGGAGGCGCTGGATACGAAGCTTTCCTTCGTGTGGCTTCCGAAAGGGGGATCGAGCGGTGCGAAGAGCGAAGGAGAAGGGCTTTGTGTCCACAGAGACACTATGTGTGGCTTCTGTGAGGAAGAAGGAACAAATGTTTTGTTCAATTGGAAAGAAGAGGAAAGCTTTGGATTTTGTGGCTCAGTTTGGCGAGAAGAAGCAAGTGCAGGGTCTGGTCACACACACACAAGAAAGAAGAAGAACAAGGAAAACAGAGGGAAAAAGAAAAAAAGAAGTGAAGGAGTAAAATAAGGATGAGACTTACAACATAGGGGGGCAACGATGTTGGCGTAGGGATTCGACTGGTTGAGATGAACGATGAAGGAAATGAAGGGTTGTACAGGCTCGAGTGGAATTCTTGGGCGACTTCTAGTGGATAGAAGGAACCATACAATGAGAATTAATGAGCCGAGAGGTTTAGTTTGTGTCTTTGTAACTAAAATGAATGAGGGAGCTGTTATCCCACTCGAGTGAGTTCTAAGAGGCAAGAGAAAATAAATCTTTAAGTTAATTAATTTAATTTTAACCAATATAACTTTTTTTTTTTTTTTCATTTTTCCCCCTCTTTTTTTTTTTCATTCTTACGGCCAACACCTAGCACTTGAAACGTTGCTATTTACAAAGCTAGCACTCGTGATTTTGTAATTACAACTTTCATTAATATGGGCTTTGATTACAATGGGAAGACTTTCATAAGTGATCATAGAGAAATTTTCTATAATTGAAGTGCTTAATTTGATTGGCATGCATTATTAACAATTTTGAATTTGCTATTCTCGTTTCTTTGTATCAATTATGTCATTAAGTCTATCCTTTCATTAAGTATAGGCATATGATATTATACTTCATCCTATGAGGCCTCTAATAGAAAATAATTGATAATTTATAAAATATAGCATTGAATTCATGTTCTTTTTTGTGCTCCATAGATTTAAATGTTTCAAATTTGAATCACTAAATCACACTATAACATAAAGTATAAGTCACCATGCACCAATTCTTTCATATACAACATATTGGCTGGAGTAATGCATTTATATACTTGCACTTCATGACGACAACCAATAAAAAGGTATTATGTTTCATCTTTATCAAGTGGTTGGGATACAAAGTAGCCAACGAAAATAGACAAATTTAGGCATAGGAGGGGGACAAGAGAGGTTGAGAGAAGAAGATTGAGTATATGGACCATGGTGAAACCCTAAAATGAAGAGTTCCAGATAAGATTTCGCAAGAAACATTGATTTCAATTCATCTCATTCCATTTTAGGATTTATTACCAATTAGATAATAATCAAAACTAAATTCAAACTTAATAATGATCTAAAAGGAATATTTAACTTGAATTAAATCACATAATTTAAAATCCTAAACTAAAATATAAATGCTGAAATAAACTTTAAATTTTATTTATTGCACGATATCATGTCTGATGACCTTCAAAAACTCTAGATTTGAATCATTATTGAGGGGAGAATTGGAAGCCTTTTATTGTGCTATAGAGCATGCAAAATTCATCCTAAAGTAAGATGAATGAGAAATTCATTCTTAATAAGAGTATTTAGAGGTAACGAATGAAAAATTTATCTCATAAAAGAAAAGGAAGTGATAGGTTGAGCATCAACAATTCAACTAAGTTATTGGAAGATTCTTTTCATCATTCTCGAGACCATGCTCCGGAAAGGTGCTTATAATTTTTTTAAGGTTTTCATACTAACTAAATTGACTCATATACTTAAATGAAATGTGAGTATACTAAAATTGTTATTGTTTTTTGTTTTTATTTTTTCAATTTAGGTTCAGAAGTTGTAGATTGTAAATATGATTTGAATTTAGTTTACATGAATGCAATTTGAAAGTAGAACTACATGTGTTTTACAAGAATACTTTGCAGTAAAGTGAAAGGCCACCACTGTTGAAATCTTAAGTGGCTCTGGATTGATAACCATCTATTTAAGGGGTAATGTTCAATTTCATGTGCCAAAAAAATCTCTATTTGCAATCATGTGCCACAACAATCTCTGTTAAGTAGTGCAGGTGCTGCCATAATCAGCAGAAAATATTCTTCTCATTGGATTAATTTTACATTAATCTTTAACATCAGCATCCAATCATTCACCTTAAGATACTCATTTATAGAATGAGGATAACCACTATAATAATCTTCAATTTCAGTTCAGCCTTTCCAAGGATCTAGATGGTCTTTCTGTTACCATGCTTCTAGTATTTCATGATATTGTTTCATAAAGGTAGTTGCATTCTTTGAAACTTAACATAAGATACATGAATATAAGTTGGTGTAAGAGTTCCAATTTTGGGATCATGAGTAATATGAAGATTGCACGAATCAGCATCATAATATTTTGGATATATGAGATTGAAAGGGGTCAAAGTAATTGCGTATAATGATTTTATTGATTCTTATTATAATATGATGATCACAAGGCTTGATTAACATAATTATTGTAAGATCCATTTATTAAGAACAATCTTCTTGTATGAGCTAGGTTACAATCTTCATTAACATTTCAAGGGAGATCTTGCAACCATGACATCCATAATGATAAATTCTTGCTCCTTTATGTTCGTGCCATATGTTCATTAAAAGTTGAACTACAAATTTCTCTTGCTAATGAGATTGTTTACCATGAAGTTCTCAAAGATCATACTATGAAGCATATGATTTTTGTTTAGAATACATGAGATAACCAAATGGATATTCAATCCTTAAATGCAACGAACCAATACGATTTAGATTTAACAGCCTTGATATTAAATGATGTAACAAGCAATAAATTTAAAGCCGAATGAGGTTAGAAGTAGTAAACTGAAGAAGAAAATGTGAGAAAAAGAACATGAAGAAAATATATGTAAGAGTGGCAAATGAGAGATTTTAGAAAATACTAAATTCAATATTCTACTCAAATTATTTGGAGATGCAAAGTTTACTTATTTAGACTTGATTAATAATACCCACTTAAAACTGATAAAACTGGTACGAAAGTATCCTTATTATATGTTACGATGTAATTAGACAATTAATTTTAGATTAATCTTTAACATCAGCATCCAATCATTCACCTTAAGATACTCATTTATAGAATGAGGATAACCACTATAATAATCTTCAATTTCAGTTCAGCCTTTCCAAGGATCTAGATGGTCTTTCTGTTACCATGCTTCTAGTATTTCATGATATTGTTTCATAAAGGTAGTTGCATTCTTTGAAACTTAACATAAGATACATGAATATAAGTTGGTGTAAGAGTTCCAATTTTGGGATCATGAGTAATATGAAGATTGCACGAATCAGCATCATAATATTTTGGATATATGAGATTGAAAGGGGTCAAAGTAATTGCGTATAATGATTTTATTGATTCTTATTATAACATGATGATCGCAAGGTTTGATTAACATAATTATTGTAAGATCCATCTATTAAGAACAATCTTCTTGTATGAGCTAGGTAACAATCTGCATTTAAGATTTGAAGGGAGATCTTGCAACCATGACATCCATAATGATAAAGCCTTGCTCCTTTGTGTTCAGGCTATATGTTCATTAAAAGTTGAGCTACAAATTTCTCTTGCTAAGGAGATTCTTTAGCATGAAGTTCTGAAGGATCATGCTATGAAGCATATGATTTTGGTTTAGAATACATGAGATACCAAATGGATATTCAATCCTTAAATGTAACGACCCAATACGATTTAGATTTAACAGCCTTGATATTAAATGATGTAACAAGCAATAAGCTTAAAGCCGAATGAGGTTAGAAGTAGTAAACTGAGAAAATGTGAGAAGAACATGAAAAAATAGATGTGAGAGTGAGAAATGAGAGAGATTTTAGAAAATACTAAATTCAATATTCTACTCAAATTATTTGGAGATGCAAAGTTTACTTATTTAGACTCGATTAATGATACCGACTTCAAACTTATAAAACTGAAAAGAAAGTATCCTTATTGTATGTTACGATGCAATTAGACGAAGTTAATATCAAAATGGAGACATGTCAATGTCTACAAGAATACTGATTCTCATAACAATTCTGCATCAAGATGCCACAAGAAATTTTGATCTATGATTTATTATAAAATCAACTCATCTTTTTATCGATCACGCTAGCTAGCTCATTAACGGCCCTAGTAGCCAACCAACACCTTTTATAAGGTGCAAAAAACGAAAGACATTTATCTCACTAAGTGTGGTGGCTACACAAATCCATTTTCTCCATTGTGTCCAACATGAATTTTTTTAAGACATTTAAAATGTACTAACTTTGCAGGTATATGTAAACATCGCCAGCACCAGGATTTACTTACCCTCCTTTTTTGTCTTTTACAGGATCATGGAAACTGCACCTTCATTGCCAGACTTCATGATCGCCCTTAAACCAGATGATTATCAGCTTCCTCCATTGGATCCCTCATGGGGCACAGGAGAAAACAATCAACTCAACCTATAAATAAGCAAAGTAGATAGGAAAGCCATACAAGTTTGATAGAGAATTCCGAGGCTTTAATGCAGGGGGAAAAAAAAAATTCCATTGCTCAGCTTTGCCATGCATATCTCATTGGATTGTCGTATAAAGGAAATGTTTTGTGCAATAAATGGAATGCCATCTTTTCCGTCCTTTCTACCGAGTCTCTTTTCATGGTATATTTGTTCTTGGGCAGCTTTTTATCTTGAGGTGGTTTCCAGAGTGTTTTTTAAGAAAGATGAACATTGTGAAAATGTTTTGTAGCACACTAAGCGATGAAATGCTATACATATATTGTACAAATGAAGTAATAAGTTGGGTGATGGGTGTAAAATGAATAATGCATCTTGAGAGCAGATGGGTGCTACTGAGATTTATGATGCTCTAGTTAATGGTTGTTCCCCTTTGATTCGATTTGATCAAATCAAGCAGCTTATTTTTTATCATTTTGTTGTCAATAAACATTGTTAAGGTTGGATCTCATATGATTAGGGGTTTGTAAATGAGTCAAGCTCGAGCTGCGCTAAACTCAAGCTTGACTCATGAGATGTATGATTGGCTCGAGCTCATAACTTTAGCTTGAACTCAGCTTGTGACAGTTATGCTTGGCATGAGCTCAACTTAAAAGCGAGATTTTGATAAAAAATATATTAAACATATATGAAACAGTAAAAATTTCACGCACACACAAATGGTTAATTAATATAATCAAGCAGATTCAATGAGCTATCTAGTTGGGTTAAACCGTTGAGTGTGGAGTTTGATTTATTTGGGCTGAAGCAACAATAGTGGTAGAGATAAAGAACCTCGGTGCTGCAAAAATGATGCTCATGTGTCACAAGATAGACGTAGCCATGCCAATATTAGGCGTAGCTACACTGACGACATAGTTTTGCCAAGTAGGGACTTACCTACATTGCGGTTCTTCGATTCCAAGTTCTGAAATAGAACAATTGGATAATTATGTTGAGGAGCAACGTGATCATGCAAGGGCAATTTTTCTCCCAATTTGATTATGAAGTCTTCAATTCGGAGCAACAATACACTCTCTTGTGAATCTCTTGCTTGTGGACTCTCAAAGGGCTTTTGTTTGGAGTGGTAACGTTTGAGAGGTGAATTTCAAAGCAGAGTTGTTATAAGTTCTAGGGGTGTATAGAGAAGAATTGAGTGGTGCAAATTTCTATACATCTCTCATTTCACAATTAAACATTTGGTGTGGTGTGGCTTAGAGGTTTTTTTGTTCTCGAGTTTTTCAACATTAAATCTATGTTTTTTGGGATTACTTTATTGTACGTTTCTGTTTGATATTTTGTTCAGGATATCTTGAATCTGTGTGATTTTTTTTTTTTTTTTCCGTAGTGTGATTTTTATTGTAAATCACATGAAGTCTAAGTTTCCATCCCAACAAGTATCATAGAGAGGTTTTTTCTGAAGATTTTTTATTTGAGTTGGAACAATAACCGACGAAACAAAGTACAAAGTAAAAAAGTTCAATAGATTGAACTTTGGATTTTGAAAAAAAACAAATGGAAGATTTATTGTATCAAACTAAATTTGTATTTGTCACTTCAAGAACTCACGAAGAAGCCTAAAACGATGAATATGGAAAAATGAGAAGTGCTGGATCGAATGACTCTATGTTTGATCTATCTTTCACTTTCTTTATCTGTTGTGTTTAACATAGTGAATGAGAAAACTATGTGATCTTATGACGGCTTTGACAAGGATGTATGAAAAATCTTCGGTTTCAAATAAGATTTTTTTGATGAAGAGGTTATTCAACATGAAGATAACAGAAGACAGTTCAATGATTGAACACTTAAACACTTTTAATATTGTGACTAGGGGTGTAAACGAACCGAACACGAACGAACAAAACTTGTGTTCGTGTTCGGTTCGTTTAAAATTTAGTTTGTTTGAAATTTTGACATCTCTAATATTAATATATAAAAATAATATTATATATTAATTATATAACTTATATTATATAAATATTCAATATCTATATTAGTATATTACTAGTATATTAATATATTATTATTATTATTTTATTATATATTATAATTTATAAAATTTAATGTTTTAAAATATAATAAATTTTTTATATATAATTATTTTATATTATTTTATATTTCAAATAATAACGATTCGAACACGAACGAACGCATCACTGTTCGTGTTTGGTTCGTTTAACTAACCGAACGAAAAAAATTTGTTCGCGTTTGCCTCGTTTACTTATCGAACGAATCGAACACAAACTCATTGACGAACCGAACACGAACTGTTCGCGAACAACGAGCTTTTTTGACAGCCCTAATTGTGACTAGCCAGTTATGTTCTATATGTATCAAATTTGATGATAAGGTCATGACACTGTTAATTCTGTCTTCTTTGTCAAACAACTGAGATGGATTGATCACGACCGTGTGTAATTCTTCAGGCAGTATGAAGTTGGACTGCGATGATATTGTGAGGTTAGTGTTGAATGAAGAAATTCATAGAAAGACACCAAGCGGTGAATCTTTAAGTTCTACGCTGAATGTTCAAAAATAGAGGAATGAATCTGAATAGTAAAAGATGTAAAGACAAATTCAAGTCTAGAAGAGGAAATTCCAGGTTCTGCAAAGGAAATGATATAGGAGAATGCCGAAACCCACGATAGGAAATGTCATTTCAAGGATTGCAAAGTTCTAAAGAAGGCTAATGGACAAGACTAAGATAAGAATCTCTCTAGAATAACCTCCACATGTTTTATCCCTAGACAATACTAAATAATAGTTAGTAGATTCATGTGCATCTTTTCAAGCTTGCCTCAATAGATAATGTGTTTAAAAATTACACTCTGAGTTATCTAAGAAATTTGTATTTGAGGAGATAACAAAACTTGCGGTATCGTAGGGAATGATGATATTGGTATCAAGTTGTCAAATGGAACAGTTCTGGAAGCTCAGTGAAGTTAAATATGTTCCAAGCCTAAACAGATATTTGATCTCTGAAAGCCAGTTGACTATTTTCACGGGTGATTCGTGCAAAGTGACGAAAGGCAAATTGTAATGGCTCGAGGTAACATTGAAGACATTGTTTACCTAATCAATGAGAGGATATAATCCAATGCAATTTTTTGGCACCGCAAGCTTAGCCATATGAGCGAGAAAAAATTATTTATATGACAAGCAGAATAATTTTTTTTTTCCTCCAAATGTGAGTCAATGATGAAGTCAAAGAAGTTGGAGTACGTGCATACTAATGTATGGGGTTCTACTCAAGTTCAGCATTGGACGTGACACTAATTTGTCACTTTCATTGATGATTACACTATAAATGTATGTGTTTACTTCTCAAAACATAAATATGATGTATTTAAAGTGTTAAAAAGGTTGGACATGGTAGAAAATGAGATTGATTTGAAACTGAAGTGTCTCGGCGTCTCGAATTAGATAATGAAGGCAAGTATCGTGATCAAAATTTTGAGTTAATGTGCATAAGAGGTGATCATACATGAGTTCACTGTTCCAAGAACTCTACAACAGAATTGAATGATTGAGTGCATGAACAAAATCATCACAGAGCGTGTCAGGAGTATGAGGTTCATGCAGGCTTGCCAAGACAATTTTGGATAGAATTAGTGAATGATGTTATTTAACTGATCAATCGTGATATGCTAGTATCTTTGAAGGAAAGCTTACCTGAAGAGGTCTAGATTGACAGAGATAGATTTATATCTAAAGGTACTTGAGTATTCTACATATGTTCATGTTAATGTAGGGTCCATAATTAAACTTGATTTAAAATCTATCAAGTGCACTTTCATTGAGTATGATTCAAATGAATTTGGGTACAAATTTTGGGACTATCAAAATCAGAAGTTCAATAACAAAGATGTGACATTCAATAAAATGAAGATGTATAGAGATTGGAGTAGAACATAAAATTGTCTGTCTGTTACTTTTAAAGTGTACAAATATGTTGAGATAAAATATATTGGTGATCAAGAGGGTAGAGATAAAAGAAGTGTTGAATCGGAGGAAGTACAAAAGTCAAGAGGTTCAACAATAAGACTGACACAGAGGTATGCTTCTTCTTTATACTATTTGTTGCTAACTGATAGTGGTGAACCAGAGTGCCAATAGGATGTCACTCAAGTTGCATATTCAAAAGAGTGAGAGTTTGTCATTGATGATTAGATGTAGTCATTGATTTCAAATCAGACTTAGGATCTGCAGGTTTTACTAAATGATAAAAGAGCACTACACAACAAGTGGATCTACAGGCTGAAAGAAGAATCAGATAGTAACAAACACTACAAGGAAAAGTTTGATGTGAAGGGGTTTCAATAAAAAGAATGAGTGTACTACACTAAGATATTTCTTATGCGGTGAAGCTAATAATTGTTAGAGTTGTGTTGAGCTTAATAGCAGAGGAAAACCTACATTTGGAATAGATGGATGTAAAAATAGCCACAATTTACATGGAGATCTGGAAGAGGAACTATATATGGTGCAACCGCATGTTTACGAGGTTTTAGGGATAGAAAACTTTAGCTGCATGTTAAGGAAAAGCCTCTATGACTTGAAGTAGACCCCGAGACAACGGTAGAAGATGTTTAACAGGTTCATGCAAGACCATGGGTACATAAAGTGCCAGAAAAACAACTATTACTTCGTTAAAACTTTGATAATTGTTATATTTTACTCATTTTACATGTGGATGACATGCTAATTACATGGGCATATATGGACAAATCAGAAACTTGAATCATCAATTATCAAGGCAGTTCGAGATGAAGAATTTAGGTCAAACCAAAAAGATCATCAAAATCGGTATCAACACGAGTGCATACACACTAAAATTGTCTCAAATGCGGAGGTTCAACATGAGAGATAAAATCAACTTGCACCTTCTTAGATAGTCACTTAACAGTTATACAAGAAATTATCGTCAAAGTTTAAAGCTGAGCAAGCACATATAAGAACTCCATACGCTTCAACAATTAGGAGTCTGATGCATGTTATATGTATGAGACCAAATATAACACATGTAGTGAGAGTGGTCAACAGGAATATGGGTAATCCTGAAAATCATCATTGGGAGGTAGTGAAGTGAATTCTTATGTATTTTAGAGAAATAATCAACATGACACTTTACTTTGGAAGTACATAGATCAATATACACTGATTTATAAATTCATATGTGGCAGGAGATTTAAATGGTAAAAAACTAAATAGGGTATATCTTCACTTTAAGGAACACAACGAAGGATTGAGTTTCCACGTTAAAGAAGGTTGTTGCACTTTCAACTCCGGAAGATCAACTTGGATTTAAAAAACATCAAACAATGCACGATGAAGATCATGTGAGATAAAACTTGAAGTTATCATCTGCAATTCCTGTAGTTTCTATAGGTAGGTGGAAGACTCCTCCAGATAATGCTGCAGGGGAGTTTGCAGAGAAGTAGATAACTGCAGTTCCTAGGCAGAAAACTCTTACAAATAATGTTACAGGGGATTTTGCAGGGAAGTAGACAATTGTGGTTATCTTTGACTAAAATACCTGTATTGTCAGCAAGTAGGTAGAATACTCCTATAGGTAATGATGCAAGTAAGTTTGCAGGGAAGTAGAAAACCTACAGGACAAACTGACTTCTAGTTGACTGTGGTTGTTGTTGGCTGCAGTTTCTGCGATGCCTGTAGGTAGACATAAAACTCCTCCAGGTAATGCTACAAAGAAGTTTGCAGGGAAGTAGACAACCTATAGGAAAAAAACTACAGGATAAAACCTGCAAAAAAAAAAAAAAAAGATAAAAGCTCGTAATAGGATAATGTCCTTTGCAAGGCAGATTGCTAACAGATAAGCTTTATGACGGCAGAGAAAAGAAAGCTGCAACTTGCAAGGAGAGAACCGATTGCTGCTGTTGTTGTTGTACAAGAGAGTTCCTGCGAAGAAGTTTGCAAGGAGAGTTCTTGTGGAAATGGAAACACAGAGAAAGACCAGTATGGAGATTTCCGACAACAGGGAAGAAACCGACAAAGAAGGGCATGTAGGTCAGCTGATGGGATTCCATTCAAGGATAAGTCCAGTCTCGCCTCTGTAATAGCCTTTTTCAAGTCGTTTTGCAAGCCAAGCAACGATGAACTCCTCTATAACAAACTTACCTTCGTTTCCACAATCCACACATATGAAATGATGAAAAAAAAACCACGGAAGTCGCTGCAGCCGCAACTTCCTGCAGGAAGAAATAACATTTGAAACCTGGGGGGGGGGAATGGCAAAATAGCTCATCCCCTCTATCCACTTTTACTGCGAAGACATGTCTGAGAAAAAATAACTTCTCCTCGTAAGTTGGGAGTGTTATTGAAGAGACAAAGTCCAACTCTCCAAACAACGATGACGACTCTCCGAATGGGATTTCCACAATAGAGAGAGAGCAAATCACAATTAGGAAAATCTGTTGACAGAGGAAGCTATAGTAGAAAAGGCCGCTGGAAACACAACATCCCCTAACGCCTATGCAAGGAAGGGAAAAATACAATAGGAGAAAGGGTCGGCTACGAATCAAACTGTAGGAACTAACACTGAATTTTTGTGGAAGAACAACATGAAAGGACAAGAAGCAGTACTGGATTTTAGGAAAAAAAACTGTGTTGTTTCCTGCAATTGGGAATAACAACATAAAAAAAAAATTTGAAGTCCATTGGGTAAGAACAACGGTAAGGTTCTACGGGGAAGAAAATCGGGAAAGTCCTGTGACTGGGAGGGACAGCAGAGAAGCCATTATCACACAACTCATCAGAGAAGGATCGCCGATGAGAGGGGAGCCGATCGACAGAGGTCCGACAAAAATCTTGCCAGGAGAGGCTTTCAATGAGAGGGCGACAGTAACCCACAGTTGGTTGCCCACATGATATACCCTTGACGAGGATATCAAGGATTTCTTCACTCTAGATGTGCTTCGGTCTCACGATAAGAAGGACTGAGACTGGAATCCAGAAATCAACCTTCAGCGAATGGGGGTCCGTCGTTTGGAACTACCTGCTGGAAGGATCAGTGGCAACAACCTTTAGAAAACAAATAGGGAAGAGGGGAACCGACGACAGTTAGGGTGAAAGCGACAACAACTAGGTGAACTGATGAATATAAACCTACACGGCAGATATGTAATAGTTCTTTATGAAAAAAAAAAATGTTAGGTAGCCAAAAACAGAAATTTCTCCACAGAACAAAGCTCTACGAGAGGAAAAACAATGGGAAGAAAAACTAATGGGAAACTGTCGCTTGCTTTCTGGAGGCTGGCAGAGTCGAAGCTCCAACCTCGGGAAGGGCCAACCGACAGGCCAAGCCCGCAGGGAGAGAAGAAGCAAAAGTTTTTGTTTCAAATACCAAGATGAGTGCCCCTTCCTTTCGCACAGAGGATGACATGAAGGGAGTTCGACGGTTCTGGAAGGACCAATGGCTAGGGTACAAAATTAAACTATGATAACATTTTAAAAACCAGACTCATGCGGAATAAAGCCGAATATTTTTATTGATATGAAATAGGTATAAATAGCCCTTACATAAACCTAGAATAAGAAAAACAATAACACTTAATATCTCAAATTAATCAATTCATATTTATTAATTGGAGATAAAAGAAACAACATAAAATATGAAATCTTAAAATAAGAAAAGAAATAAATCCAATGCAAGAAAATATATCTAAATGATACCGGGAAATAAAGTTATATTAGGAAATAAATATAATCCTCATAACTTCTAACAACAATAAATTATTTCCTAATATAACTTCTAACAATAACTGGGTAAAGAGGAGGGGTTTGGAAAGCTTCATAGTGACAATATGTGTTATTCAGCTTATTAAAAATATTGTTTTTCAAGTCAGGACAAAGCATATTCAACCGATATATTACTTTATTCACTCTCTCTTAGAAGATGTGTAGTTATTCTTGGGGAATATACACACAACTCATAATCCTGCAAATATGTTGACTAATGTGGTGACTATAGTGAAACTGGAGTCATTCTTGGCTTCAGTTAGAGTCTGGGAAGGTTAAGATCGAAGGCGAGTAACACTGTGGTACATGACTATGAAGATGGTATATATGTTGGAGCAGATATGGAGGAAAGATGTTGGATGCAGATCTACCTCCAATTGGGAGATTTTTGTGCGGAGTCTGATTTAATTGGGATGAAGCAGCAACAGTGGTAGAGACAAAGGAGCCCCAATGCTGCAAAAACATCGTAATTCATTCAATTTCAAGTTTTGAAATAGACCAGCTAGAATAATTACGTCAGGAGCGATGTGATTATGCCAGGGGTAGTTCTCTCCTGATTCAATACTTAAACCCTGGATTTAGAGCGTCCATAGTTTCTCTTTTCAATCTCTAGCACACAGTGAACTAACTCTTGAAGGGCTTTTGTGTGGAGCGCTAAAGTTCGAGAGGTGAATTTTAGGGTGTGTGATTTCTCTTATGTGATCAAGAGAGGATTTGGAGCAAAATTATTGTACATTCTAATTTTGTAGAGATAAAAATCTAGTGGTGTACATATCTGCTCTGCTCACTTACACCCCTACATAGAACAAAGCCAATATATTGGTTCATTGATCAATTACATGCCCACCTCATCCCTAGATAGAGGGCATGTACATTAACTGGAATGCAAAGATGATTGTATCAAATCAGAACAGAATCATTTCATTGATCTAATCATTAATCATTGTGCGATGTGTAAATTATGAACTTCAAAATCAACATCTTTTTTTAATTTAATGCTCATGTTAAGTGGTTCTTAAAAAAAAAAACTGACAAGGTTTTCAATGATTACAATGTCAGACATGAAAAGAACTCCAAGGAAAAAAAAATTATTATTTCCTTCAATATATTTACGAGCCCTTAACCCTTTTTTAATCTGGTGAATTTCAGAGAACAAGAACATCTTTTATAAGTCTCCCTCTATCAAGAAAACTGCACCATTGAGCAGCCAAGCATGATTGGTTCTGAAGAAAAAATACTAGCACTTATCAACCAGTTTATTCCAATTCCTGAAGTAATCCTTGTTATATTTTAACATTAAAATCAAAGCCAATGATATAAATTTAAGATCTAACCCAGAATTTTCAAGCCGGCTTCTCATAGGTATTCTGGTCTCTGAACTCTGCGATCTTGCTTCGTATCATTTCCGCTACATGAGGCTGCACAAACATGTGCGTGCCGTCAAGGACGTGCACAATAAATTTCTGTGACGCAGGTAGAGCAGCATTCAAATTCACAATGAACTGCGCCATCGGAACATCACTGCAAAAAAATATTTTGGAGATAATTTTATTTAAAACTATTTAGATCAAATCAGTCTGAATCATAAATGTTTGAAGCAATATTGATCGCTACATACCAGGAAATTAATATACCTTTGATCGCATTCACCATCTTCAAACGTAAGATCAAATTTATTCTGCAGAATTAAGTCAATGTCATTCTCCTTACGAAAGAAAAGATACTATTGTGTGTGTAACAAAGAGAATATAGCGCGCTGTTATCACCAGGGTAGCTTTCTTTTGGTAGTTATAATTACATAAGTTAGAGTGAACCCAAACTACAAGTGAAAGCACCTTTTTAAAATTCTACTAATGCTACATGAATGGGGTAGTGTAATGGAGTTGGGACTTGGAAGTACCATTAAGAAAGTCAGAAACCCTTATTGAATACCCTAATATAATAAGAAGCTTTCTCTAATTGGTTGGTGCTCAAGGGCCATTTGGGATCACTTTTTAGTATAATTTTTATTTTGTTTATGTTTTGATATGAAATATAAATTTGCTTAATATCTTAAAAAAGTAGATTTATTTTAATTAAAATTTTATTTTTGTCTTCATCAAGAACAGGCCTGAAAACCGCAGATGCACATTATAAATACATTCATAATCAGCAATGATCTCAGATTAATTACAGGCATATATAACTCATTCAAACCAAAAAAGTTAAGTATGTCTGCAGAAAGGACAAAAAAATTAATACTAAATAACATTGATCTCCAGAAAAAAAAAAGAGAAGAATTCTAAGAACTAGATCAAAAAGAAAGAACGACCAAATAACAACATAATGAAATATTCAAACATATCAAACATTAAACAATAATGTCATTCTTACCCCTCTCAACATCAATGAAGATGTTCCTGATATTCATGTTATACATCCTTTCTGTCCATCTCTTGATGCAATTTCAAGAGATATCAAAAACTCTTTCAGTTTATTTTAAATTATTTCTAGATTAGTTATATTATTCTAAGTTATGTTTAGTATATTTTTTAGTTTTAAATGTATTATTTAAGCATTATAATTATTTTGAGGTATTTACATACACATGACACATTTCTTATGTATTTACATATCTAACGCATAATTTTCATATTAACATGCTTAGCACTCAAATATTTAATATGACATCATAAGTATCACCATTAGTAACTTCTTAAAAGTGAAATACATCATTATATGCATAGATTTATGACACTAAATATCAAATTTTTGGTGTTTAAAACATAAATACAGAGGAATTGTGTGATTAACACTGTCATGGTCGGGTTCCAAGCCCCAGATGTGAAAAGTGAACGGTTGTGTTAGGTAGTCCACAACCAACGTAAAATTTGTCAAAAAATCAAGAAAAGAATTCTTTTGATTATTGTGTAAATGCTAGGGCGTCCCCTGGAAGCGACACGTTGTATAATCTGAATACAGTCAAAAATATGCAAAGGTCGCTACACCGGCGCCACGGTGGTGTCAAATAAGCATGAGCTCCCACACTACGGACGGATGCAGGTAGAAAAATTAATCCATGAAGCTAATATTAGGATAATATCTTCGAATATAAATACTCTCACAGATAAATCAATGGAATTAGTTGATATTATGGTTCATAGAAATACACATCTTATGTATTCAAGAAACTAAATGGGTTGGAGATAAGACTGAAAAGATTGATATCTTAGGTTTTAAACTTTAGTATTCATGTAGGAGTCGCACTATGAGAGTTTGAAAGACAATATTGTAAAAATTAATAGAATTGGAGATGAAATTATAGCCCTTAACATTGTTGTTGATACTAAAATTTTTAATAAGTGCGTCTGTACCTCAAGTAGGTTTAGATAAAGGCTCTAAAAAAAAATTCTGGAATGACCTAGAAGATATAATACAAATGATACCTCTTGAAAAAAAAATTTTTATTAGAGGAGATTTAAATGAACATGTCTGTAGAGTGAAAAAAGATTTTAGAAATATTCATGGTGGTTACGATTTTAGAGTGATTAATAAATAAGGTATAGTTATATTAGATTTTGCTTTAATGTATGATTTTATTATTGATAATACTTTATTTAAGAAAAGAGATAAACATATTATTATTTATAAAAATAAATCTAATAAAATACGAATTAATTATTTTCTAATGAGAAGAAAAGATCGTCGAGAATGTAAAGATTGTAAGGTTATTTCAAGTGAGAATTTAAATACCCAACATCGATTATTAGTTCTAGATTTGAAGATGAAGAGTTGTAAAATAAAAAATACTAGGAATCATTACCATAGAATTAGATGAGGGTGCCTAAAAGATACAAATAAAATATTTTTATGAGTAAACTTCAAAATTTTAAGATTTTTGATGTTTTTGAAAAATTAAATTCTATGTAGGATAAAGTAACAAACATTATTAAACAAATGACAAAAGATGCACTAGAAGAATCAATCAAAAAAGTTTCTATAATTAAAAATAATTGGTAGTGGAATAATAATGTGCAAGAAAATATAAAATATAAATTGTGTTATAAAAATTGGTTTAAATAGAAAAATTTAAAGAACTAAGAAAAATATAAAATTCTCCGTATGGAGTCTAACAGAACAATTTATGATGCTAAAAATCTTGCTTTTAATGATCTTTATAATAGATTATATACTAAAGAGATACTAAAGAGTTTTTAGTGTTAAAAATATGTGCATAAATTAGCCAAAAAAAGTGAAGATTTCATTCAAGTCAAATGTATTAAAGATGAAAATAAAAAATTGTTTTCTTAGAAAAAATATTCAACATAAGAGGGTGAATTATTTTGATAAACTTTTCAGTCATATTTTTGAAAATGCGACCGACCTTAGTGATTTTAATATAGTTAATAATAATAAAATATATCATTTTTACTCTCGCATTAGTAAAAAAGAAGTTGAAGAGGCTATAAGAAAATCAAGGGTAGAAAATTTGTAGAACCGGGTGATATCTCAATTGAAGTGTAGGAATAAATAGAAGATTTAAGAGTTTATTGGGTTACTCAACTCTTTAATATTGTTTTAAAAAACTAAAAAGATGTCTGTGGAGTGGAGGAAGAGTACTTTGGTCCCCATTTTTAAGAGTAAAGGGAATGCATGAGATTGTGCAAATTATAGAAGAATTAAGTTGATGTGTCATACTTTTAAATCATGGGAGAGGGTAATTGAACATAAGTTAAGACGTATTATAAAGATTTCTCATAATTTAGATTTATGTTGGACAGGTCTTCTATGAAAGCTATAAATTTATTGAGAGATTTGATGAAGAAGAACAAAGAGAATAAGGAGGAGGAGGATCTTACATATGATTTTTATTGATTTAGAAAAAAAACTTACAATAAGATTCCAAGAGAAATCCTTTGGAGAGTTCTAGAGAAGGAAGGTGCTGATATGACTTATATTCAAGTCATTAAAGCTATGTATACTAGAGTTGTTACTTGTGCTTGATCAGAAGGAGGATTGACCTTTCCTATTTCAGTTGGATTACATCAGGGATCAGGTTTAAGTCCATATCTTTTTGCTTTTGCTATGGATGCTCTTACTGGAAATTTACATGAGGATGAATCTTGGTGTATGTTATCCTTCTTGTGGATAAGATAAGAGAAAGAGTTCAAAAAAAACTTCAGTTATGTAGGACTACATTGGAGTCTAGAGGCCTTTTTTAAGTAGAACTAAAGCTGAATACATGGAATGTTATTTTAGTAGTAGTAGCTCCAGTGCCAGAGTTGTAACTATGGTTGATCAAATAATTAAAAAGTATAAACACTTTAGATATCTTGGGTTTATTGTTCAAAGTGATAGTGATATAGATGGGGATGTTATTAGTAGACTTCAAGTTGGTTGGTTGAAGTGGAGAAAACCATCAGGCCTATTGTGTGATAGAAAAGTATGAATTAGACTGAAAAGAAAATTTTATAAGATGGTGGTGAGACCTATAATGCTTCGTGGCATAGAATGTTGGCCTTTAAAAGAGAAGCATAAAACCAAATGTTGTTGAGATGAGGATGCTGAGGTGGATGAGTGACTTTACACTTAGAGACAACAAGAGAAATGAATATATCCGTGATAGGGTTGGTGTAGCTCCAACGTCAGAAAAAATTAGAAAGAGTTGTCTTAGATGGTTCGATCATATTATACATCCGCCATTTGATAATCTAGTCAGGAGTGTAGATGTTTAATATTCCACTTATGTTAAGAAAGACAGAGATAAACCTAGAAAGGCTTGGGCAAATTGTATAAAAAATGATCTTAATTTATTAGAATTAAATGAAAATATTACACTCAATAGGATGCAATGGGGAAAAAAGATTCATGCAGCCGACCCCACTTAGTGGGATAAAGGCTTGTTGTTGTTGTTGTTGTTGTTGTATAGAAATTGTGTGATATGTATGTAAGTTTCACTTTATTTAAATTAGATAATAAAATTTTTAGACCTTCTTTAGATTTGAATTTAGCTAAGTTTCATTTTAAATGAAACCCTATTTTTCAAATAGATGTCGTGTTATTTGCAATTGAAAAATTCAACTATAAATGAAATTTTAAAGTATTCTCTCTTCACACTCTTCTCTCACCCCCTATGGATTTCTCCCCTCCCCAATCGTATGATTCTCTATCAAACTCTATTTAATTCTGAACTCTTGACCTATAAAATTTAGAGTCGACTCTCTATCAAACTATATTTAATTCACGAAGTAGCTTAGGATTCTTCCCTATCAAAATAACAATTATGGTGAGTTATTATAATGGGTCATATAATCACATTTAGCCAAATTTCAAACATAACCATATAAAACATTCTGAATATAATTATTATCAAATGAATCATAAATTATCATCCATAAATAACAAAGTTGATTCGTAGGATAAGGAATCAAACATAATTAATTTGGTATAAATTATAAGATAAAAATAATGATGAATTTGTACTTGATTGTCCAATCCATGAAATGCCATATCATTCTGCCTGGAAATCATATCATACACAAATTTAGTTTGAGAATTTAATTTCTCAAACTCCAAAGGTTTAGAAACCTTAGCCACCAAAGTTTAAAAAGTTTATTCTACTATCGAATTAGTTTATGAGGATTATTATTATGATGAATCTAGTTTTGTAGATGAACTCGACAATGACGATCCATCATAAATTCTAAGATACTCGGCCTAAATTTGACATCAAGCTCGAGCCTACTGTGGGGATGTTATGATAACTATCGAGATAAGGAAATAATTTGACCCATAATTTTGATATTCTTGTAAATTTTTTCCCCAAATATGCAAACCCTTCATAAGTTCAACCCTCTCACAACTTTCAAGCATGTTGTTGTGACGCTATCCTCAAACTTGCCACAACTAGTGCCTTCATGTTTGGCATATTCACCACCTTTGGCACTAACACATCCACTATCTTTAGAGCAGCAACAATTATCACCCTTAGGTTTGAATTTACTATCACCATCATCACTACCCTGAAATTTCTATTCATGGTTGTATCCATATTCAACATTCCATCTACTCCCAAAATTAGCACCATTCACCGTTTATCACCATGTTCATTCTTACTCTCAATATCTCCACCATCTAAGTCCAGTGTATTTGGCACTACGATTATAGAGTTAATCTATCTCAAGAAATCATCATCCGGGCATCCCTGTAATTGGTGAGGGTTAAAACTGACTCATAGTGAAGTGTCTCATTTGGGCAATGCTCAATGATTTTCACTCTACGGTTTTAATATTAAAAATGTGTCTATTTAACTGCATGTATGCCAAAAATGATGAGAAAAGATGAGAAATCTCTCAAACTTTCTAGTTCCATAGGGATTTCATCAAACGAAATACAATATTAACTCTCAAATAATGTACCAAACTTCAGTTGTATAACGGAACACTCGTAAAGAACAAGTTTATGCCTTCCTCCTTAATCATTCAAAACTAAATATCAAGCCTCCTTAAGCGTATAGTCACTTTCTATCATAACCTATAAGAATGCAGTAACACAGAATCAATGGAATACAATTTTTTTTATTTGAAAGGGCAAAAAGCTTAGGGGAACTATTACATGTGCAAATGCCGGAATGCTCAGAAGAGATCAAATTTTAAATATTTAATTCAAAATAGCCCATTATCCATCAACTATTAAAATGCATAATTTGACTCCAAAATCGTATGATGATTAAGTTTATCAAACTCATTTATTAGGTTAATGTTTAAAGCATTTCTTCTAACAGGTAACCTAAGAAAAGGCCACGTTCCCTCTTACGATATTTTATATTAATAATCAAGCCTTCTATGAACTAAACATGAGCACTACCTATTCCATTTAGATTTGAAATAAAATAGACTGTAAATTTCATTTCATCTGCCTCTAGGGTTTCAAATCCAAACGCTAGAGACGGAAAAAGAGAAAGCTATGTGGAGACGAGCCTAGCTCGCGCAAAAACTCTAGCCGCCGGTCAAAAGCCCGGCGGCCCAAGATCATGGACGCATTGGAAGAGAATAGAGGACAGAAAAGAAATGCAAGGGAGTATCAACACCAAAGTTACCTCCCTTGATCGGAAGTCCCACAAGCTCGGCGGCCACCTTCTCCAACGCCTTCACTGCTCCTACTTCTTCCGGTCACGCGCGCACGCTCTCTACACCTGTGTTCGCGAGCGAATGCTATGCAGAGTCGGACCTTCGATGGCTTTTGCGGGGCTGGATCCGGAAGCAGGCAGACTCAGGCCCCGCGAGGATTACAAGGACACGTATGAGAGTGATGAGTTGTGAACCAAAACCACTTCCATTCCTATTATTGCCTTTAAAAAGAAAAAAAAAAACATGAATATTTTAAGGTTTGTTCGAGATTTTTTTATTTTTTATTTTTATTTTAAAAACATATTTTTTATTTTAAAAAAGTTACATACATATCATATATTTTTATATATTTACATGTTATATCATATCAAGCATATTTTATTTTAAATCAAATTAAAAAAATAAAATTTAAACAAAAATTAAGACTAATCCCAAATGGCTCCTTAAGATTGATCGTGTTACCAATCATCATGAAGAAATCCCAAAGCTAATTAAATTTACACAAAATTGTCCAATAAAGAGTGACACCAAAAGAGTATATATTATGATTTTCTTCCAAAATCATGGCAAATCCTAGCAAGAGATAGTAGAGAGGACAAAACTAGATTGCATCATCTAGTGTATCATTCAAATTCATCTATACAACATACAAGCAAGTACATGACAAATTCAAAATTTTACAAATAAATAATATCTTAATTGATTCATTAGAAAACAACATCACCCAAAAATCACCCAAAAAAAAAAAAAAAAAGAATACATCAGTAATAACCGCATCCCCCTTTGAGATTGCACCAACTTAAGCTAAAGAGAGTTACATTATAGAAAGCAAATGAACATTTTAAACCCTTATAAAGTAGTTTCAAAAGGCTTAACATGGGTGTGGGTATAATATTTAAAAATAAATAATTAATTTCTAATAGTCATCCCCCATCATGCATGTGTGTAATAGCACTAAGAAATTATAAATGTCGTCACATTTCAAATATGACATGAAAGCACTCTTAAGCATATCATTCCTTCTTTAAAATGAGTTTTATGATACATCTTGCGAGTTCAACAAACCTTTGGACAATGACCAACCATAACAAAAATTCTCTCAGGATAATATCCATGAACTAAGAAACATTCAATTTAGCCAGATTCAGTGTTGGAATCAAATATGGAGCTATGACTTATTCGCAAAGTAAAAAAACTTGAGACAATATTAATGAATGGGAAATTTATATATCTAGCACACAATTCTTGTGTATTTATATGTTTCGCAACTAAACTTTCATATTTGCATTCATAGCGTATTGGTGACTTAAACCTATAAATGAAAAGGTGTATTTCACTTTTCAAAAAATGATAATAGTATTATTTTTTATGCAATATTAAAGATTTGAGTGTTGTGCAAGAAACACAAATATAGTAGAATTACGTGCGATGTATATCAATGCCCCCTAAAAGAATGGGCATTAACATACAACACAATTCTTATATATTTACACGCCTAACACCTAAACATTCATATTTACTTGCATATCACCTAAATCTTTAACATCACATCACAGATGCCAACAACACTATCCTTTTCAAAATGAAATACTCCTCATCCACTCATGACACCAAAGTGATATGCAAATACATAAGAATCGTGTTGTATGGACGTAAATTTCCTTTTATATCAAATATTTTGTGGGTAGTCGGATGGGCAGCTCTAATTTTAGGGAGATTGATAGCCTTTTAGATAATAACAAAAAAATATCACCGATAAAAAAAATTATATATTATGAATTTATTTTCTCTTTTAATTCGACTTATTGTCTAATTTATTTGCTTCCTCTTGAAATATTTTTTACATCCATAAATAAGCAAACTTACCCTATGAATAAAAAAATCATTTTAGAGTGTGTTTGTTTCGACTGTGGCTTTATAAAATCTAAGTTCAAAAGCTGTAGTTGAAAAATCTGTTGTTCAGAGGCTGGTGTTTCAGAAACATTTGGTTTGTTTGAAAAACACAGTTCAATAAGTGTTATTCATGGACTAATGTTTGTAATTCCCTTAGTATATATACGCAGTTTTGTTTGAAAAATAAGTTTCTGTTTGAAAAACACAGTTCTGAAAGTGCTATTTGTGGAATAAATCAAATGTTAATTTTTGAAATTATTTTCACTCACAACATCATAAGGGAATTTAAGGTGAATATTAACCCAATTTTTTATCCTCAAAATAATCATACAAACATAATATATTCAACATAAGCGGCAACTCAGCTAAATATATGAGTTTGCTTACAAAAAAATAAAAATAAAAATTCTAAAGTAGTACAACTTGTTCTCCAAAGTACATCAACATCATTACAATAAATACAACGTTAACAACAATAACAACAATGCTACGATTATAAAATCAAACAGGAGCAAAGTCTTCAAAAGAAATTTCAAGTCTTTGAGATCATTCTTCACCGTATCAACATATGTATTTATTTGTTCATCACCTCATTCTAATATTGCATCCCTCGGTTCATCAATACATTGAAAAAATTTGCAATCTCTATTCATTAATTTTTTTAGACATCTATAAAATTTTCAGCCAACGTTGTCACATTTCTGTGCCGTGAAGACAACACATAATATATTGCAGTCACAAAATATCGATCGATATTTGGTCCCCTTAGAACTTGTCAAATTACTTGAGCTTAATATAATCCTGTAAATTAATGATTAACACATAACAATGCGTGAAAAGAAACAAATAGGTGAAAAGAAAAGAGATGCATAATTTGTATAAAGAATGGGCATTTACATACATACCACTGTAGTCCTTTGCATTTATATATCTAACAAAAAAATCTATTTTTTTACATTGGTACCATCCAAATATTTCATAAATAATACAATCATATTAACTGCAAAAAAAGTTAAAATAAATGTGTCAAAAACAAATTCCACTGATGAGGGTTAGTTTCGCCTTGAAACTAAAAAAATTGATGTTAGACCAAACAAAATTCAACAAATGCATCATGAAAACCTAAAGATATTATTGAGGTGGTATTGATGCGGTATTGATGTGATTGTTTTCTCGGTTCTTTTTTAAGGCTCGGAGTCACAAACTTCTCTATTTATATATCGTCGTATAGTTTCTTTATTTAATAAATCTCCCTCTTGGGTCATCATAAATGATCCGAAGAGGAGATAAATCACATAAAAAAATGATATATGATAATAACTAGGCAAACAAATAATAAGAAACAAAGGAAATGTTATATATGAGTAATCCACGTGTTATGAGTCGAGAGTACACATTCGAACGGGATCAAATCATGATACCTAGAAACACAACATTTACGAAGAGAATCCCAATATAAGTCACCCCAAACTAAAGAAACAATAAGAATATTTTTTGTTCTAGGGTTAAGAGTCTCGAGAGGAATGCATCCATCTGGTTAATTACATATCTTATGACATACCCAAGAATGCTCTCGATAAAAGGAGTTTCACTTATATTATCATGAACCTAGAGAATATGTCATTTCATATGGGAAAGCTCCGATGCTACAAATCTTTCACTAATCTACATGGTAGAAAGCGAGTCTCTCACATACCAAATTGGTACCAGATCGTCGACATACGAAACCTGCGAAATAACCAAAATCATCTCGATGGGAATATCCCTATATTCAGAGCGCACCGGGCCATCAGGGCTGAGGGTAAATCATTGTATCCCAAATTGAGGCAGTCCATTGATGATCGGGTTGTCAAGATGATATCAATGAAGTCAAAAAGAGCGATAAAGCTCGAAGAGGCTCAACAAGAGGAAGAGTAGGGTAATCCTAAAAGACAGAGGTAATCGGGTCGGGGTTCCATAGACCCGTCATCGCAAGCTACTAGGACTCTAAGTTTACCTGTTCATGAAAGTAGTCGACCCAACACGTCCCCGGTCAGCAATCCATGAATTGCATCGTCCATGGGGACTTCGGTAGCCTTAAGGGCAAAATAAGGAGACTTTAATCCTATGACCTACAAGGTGAAGCTCAAGAGGTGGGACTCACACTCGCCAGATAGATGGCAGAGTGGCCTCAAGAAAAACCAGAAATAAGATGTCTAGCTACAAAACTGTAAACATTCTCCACAAAGGACTTACACCCCGTCTGGGTCAGAGCAGCCCCTAACACCCTAATGGTTCTAGATAACCACCTAAGTAGAAATATATATTGGGTCAGTCGGGTTGAAGAAGCTCGGGGGCTTCTCCACGGGAAATGTAAATATGAATGTAATTATATCCCAGTGTCCTAAGCAAGGGAGCTGTATTACATGACTTGAGTCCAATCCATGCATGCAAATCATTTTAAAATCGGCTCGAAGGCTATGTAAGAAAATAAAAGTGCAAATTTTAAAGTCTTGAATATTTTAATTCTAAATTTTTTATTATCTTGAATATTTTATTAGGATTTTATTTCATATTTAGAATTTTAAATCCTAAATAATCTATATTGCATTCGTGATTCCCGGACAAATTACATAAAGAAAGAATGAAAGCAATTCAAACATACAAACATGCAAAAAAAATAATAAAACAAAACAAGTAAAATAATAATAGACTGATGTCGTTGAGTCGACAACATATCTCATAAAAGTAAAAAAGCGGTCGGACTCGGCATATAGATGTCCGATCCTAATTTTATACATCAATATCAAATGCAGAATTAAGATACAGGGCATAAATTGACTGTGCTAAAGATTCAAGAACTAAAGCATGTCACTTGATTATTTTGGATTCATCATTAGTGGACTAAGAGCAGCAATTTATGCCCCGTATCTTAATTCTGCATGCATAAATTGACTGTTGCAAATGAATGTGGAGATGCAACATGCGACATGACACACACAAAAGAGATGTACCCGTAAAATAGGCTACCTATGGAAAGGAATTACACCTGTCCAGGAACCCGACGCTATGCGACAAGCAGACACCGACTACAAATGAGTGCATCGAGCAAAACGATACCTATAAAAAAGATTTACACCTTACCCAAAAGATGCTCACCGAGCACACATGCAAGATATGCAACAAACATATTAGAACAATCAAGCATACATAAATGCAATGAGACATCAAACTTATGACATTTAGAAATGTCAAGTGTATGACATACAAATGACAAGCATAGAGAAATGAAAATTAAAAAAAAAAAAAAAAAAAAAAAAAAAAAAACCGTAAG